CGCCTGCCCCCCGGCGATTATCTGAGTGGATCTTACCCCCTTCACTTCGAAGCCAAACTCCGGATGACCCCCTTCACCTGGGCTGAAATTGGTATTGTACTCTGAAAATGTGATAAAATCGTTATTAAAAGGTTTTGCAGGCTAAGTGCCTCAAACAACAAGTACACTCATAAATTTACAAAAGAAACGGTATTTGTGTCTATTCATATTATTTATTTATCCTTGTAGCATTCATTTGAAGAGCAGAAAGTGAGGACACAAAAACAGTTGATTTTTGAAGTACATAAAATCTCTCATATCTCGCGGCACAGAAGACCTAGAAAAAAGTCGACGGTCCATGTCGATTCTCCATGATCTCAGCTTTCGAATGGTATAAAGCATGTTAAGGCTTCTTTGCTTCCCGGCTATAAAAAGCACTTGCTCCGGTGACCGATAAAAGCCAATACATTGGTGGAGCTGGCTGGAGCAAGCTAATAGTAAATATCTCCGCCCCATTTCTGAAAACTGGTAAGTTTTTTCGCTCAGCAACCTATATACCATTCGAAAGCTCAGGAAAAGGGAATTCAACCTAGGTCGTCGACTTCTTTCTAGCCCCCCTCCCCCTCTACTGAGAGATACACCGCATTTTATCTAAAACATGTCCATTTTCAACAGCAGATTTCTGCCAAAGTAAGACCTAATCACTGCTGATTATTTATCTGTGTTAAAGAGCAAGTTTTTATAAACAAACGTAGACCGTCGACTTTCTCATAGCATTCATTTGGAGAGCAAAAAGTGAGGACACAAAATCAGTTGATTTTTAAAGTACATAAAATCTCTCATATTTCGCGGCACAGAAGACCTAAAAAAAGTCGACGGTCTACGTCGATTCTCCATGATCTCAGCTTTCGAATGGTTTAAAGCATGTTAGGGCTTCTTTGCTTCCCGCTTCTAAAAAGCACTTGCTCCGGTGACCCATAAAAGCCAACACATTGTATAGGTCGTCCCGAAAGTTCATGCGCACATTTTTCAAAAATTCATAACTTCTGTTTCCAACCGATTTGACTGCTTCTATTTTCGTATGAAATAGTAAGTCATGTTTTTTATAATGACATCTTATCTGCTTACTAATGGTCATCTGTTGCATAGATAGGAGCGATAGAAGAAAATTTGTCAAAATTTGAATTTTCTGTGTAGGGTCATGAAAAATCGGAGACTTGCAACAAAAATCGGAGCAGTCAGTATTGTAGGCTCTTTCACCAGCTCTTTCTAACAGTGCAAAGTTTGCGTTGATTGAGGGTTTCTATGAAAAGTTATGATTGAGCAAGCAATACAAAAAGGCGAATTTGGTTTATTTTGGCATTTTTCAGGAGAATCATAACTTTCCATAGTAACGCTCAATCGGCGCAAACTTGCACTGTTAGAAAGAGCTGGTGAAAGAACTTACGGACTGCTCCGATTTTTGTTGCAAGTCTCTGATTTTTTGACCTACACAGAAAATTCAAATTTTGACCATTATTCTTCTATCGCTCCTATCTATGCAACAGGTGACCATTACTATGCAGCTGAGATGTCATTATATAGAGTATGACTTACCCTTTCACATAGAAGTGAAAGCAGTCAAATCGGATGGAAAAATCAGAAGTTATGAATTTTTGAATATCGTGCGCAAAAACATTCGGGACGACCTAATAAGAACCAGGTGGAGCAAGTTGATAGTAAAAAATGTGCTGTGGATTGACATCGTTATCAGCACCAACGGAAAAGTGAAGGAACGCGTCTATTTAAGCGTAATTATCGTTGTTACATGTCTATGTTTTTGGTAAAAAATGCGCTTTTGATTGGCAGTTATGCCACCATTATTAGCACACACTCAAAAAACTATGGGTGATTGGTGAATTTTCACACCTTCACACAAAAACCCGCCTTCTGGAATCTATACTCTGTAGACCTAGTGCTGAAAAAGGTCACTTTCGTGAAAACGCTCTAGACTCACCTTACCTAATTTGTAGAAAATGGTTGGTTTCAATGAATCAAAAACTTTAAAACAGTCAGAAGAATAACATGTTATTAAAATATCCCTCAATGTTTTGGAAAGGTTTCGAAGAGGAAACGGCAGGCAGAATACTTTACAAAATCGCAGATGAGCATGTGTTCCAGTTCAACAGCGAGGCAGAAGGAGAATCTTTCGCCGACGAAAATGTTGTCGACATCATTGATACAGAGTTGACAATTGAGCGAAACTCTCTGATTTCCTACATAAGGAATCCAAGCAGATTGACTAGTTTCAATGAGGAAATGTCCAGGAAGTCCATTGCTGATCTTCAGGTTGCTGAAGATTTCAAGGCTGCTAAATTCACAAAGATGGATATAAACAAAAGGAAGGTGTTACAAAGCATAGCTACTGCTCTCAGATCCCGACTGGAGTGCGAACCCAATTTTGTGCTTTATGCTTTTGGAAGTTATTCGCCTTGTGACATTATGACCTATGTATTGAAAAAAATCAACGCGCAGCATAGTATCTACTTTTTTCGGGTATTTTGCAGATGATGTTGAAGAAGAAGTTGAGCAGCTTTCTCATCAGCTGACAAGACGTATGCCAGAGGAGTGAAGCCAGAGTTCGACAAGGCCCAAAAAGTATGCAGTATTTCCTTCCCGTGTTGCGAAAGCATATGCGATCTGGCTCTTTCCCCATTACTTACTGCAAAAATCTGATGGACTTACTATAGTCGTCCTCACCCCACTAGTCGGTCGGTGGTCGAATTTGAATTCGAACTGGAGCAGGCCTGCCGCGGCAGAGCGCGGCAGACGCCGCTCCTCAGCCACTCGCTTGCACATGAGGTTTTTTCTTATTTTTTTCGTGTTTCTTTTCTATCTCTTTATTGCGGCAATGTTCTCAATTAGAATTCAAGATCTCGTGCCGCTAACTATTGTTTCGCGCAGTTGTGCTCGTTTGTTTTGCTTTTTTTCAGGTGAACAGGAAGAAGGATGCGAGGTGACATTTGGATAGGAGATAGCTTTTTCCGGTAAATGACATTTGCACAAATGTGTTCTGATGAACTGTGTCACAATTTTTCAGTAGAAATTGTTTTCTAGACTTCCCTTTTTTAGACATAAAGCTTTCCAAGAAGTATATGTGAGTTTTCTGGGTAATGCATACATAGTCATCTTGCATAGCTAAATGTGACATATCTGGTTACTAAGACTGCACATAATTTTTGGCAGTCGGTTGTTCATCTAGCGTTTCCCTTCTCTCTGAGAAAGTGAGCCCCTGGAGCTGACATGGTACAGCTTGAGTTAATATTTAAAAGGTAAAAGGTAAGAACTCTGATATTTTAATTGCTCTTTGTGTTGCATGTTCTGAATATGTTGTCATGCCCTAATCTCCTATCAAAGTCAAAGCCAGAAGGTCTCCTTAGACTTTTTGCTTTTCATCTTGCCTTTTTTTTCAAACGCAGCATGTCATAGTAGCATCTGACATTTGTTCACCTTTGCAAGCTAAAGTGGTTCATGTTTGCATGTTTTAATATACTGCATGAATTCTTTGTCCCTGACTGCTATGCCTAGGCACTCGGTTGCTCGTCTAGGGTTTCCCTTCTCTGTAAGAAAGTAGGCCTCTAGCCGTTAACTGAAAAGCCTTAATGAGCTATATGCGTCAGGATGAACAGGGAAAATAGAAACTGCGTGATTGTTAAGCTGAACATCAGCACAATATGATGTTGTCTTTGAAGCTATTTTGCATGTCTCCTCAAAATGCATGCATGCTGCACAATGCTTTCGTTAGAAGATTATGTTGGGGGTAAAAATGCTGACCTATTAGCCTATGCTGACACTTTCGAATGTTTCATATCGGTACTCTCGAAAAACTTTAGCAAAGTGGAAAGTAAGTGACTGTCCAGTCCAAGTCTGCTTAGTACTAAATAATTTTGGTTCTCTCAGACTACTCCACAAAAGAAGGAATCTATCAGTCTCCTTTCGGAACAAGGTTCCCCTTTGTGTTAGGAAATTAGTTGAACGACGGCCACTGCTATAAGCAGTTTTTGTGATTTCTTCATCTCCTTGGTGTCACTGAGCTTCGAATCCCTTCAGGCCTTGTCGTCTTGTCTTTCTGATTCGGAATACTCCTTTGTTTTCATGGTTTCCATACGCACTGGACTGTTTATGCTTATTCATCACTAGTGATTTTGTGAACGCTTACGGTCCGAATCCTCAGTCGCATACTTGTCTCAAGTCGTCACTTTGGAAGAACACACTTATGTCAGGAGGGTTTGAGGGAGTTACAGCAGCCCATGCGTCCTACCCAAAAGGTTCGATGTTTATTCTTGAGCCGAAAAAACATGATATTGACTTATGCAGTATTTCTTACAGCCTACTTGTACGTGCTGGGTTTTCTATGCTAGGAACGAAAGGCGTTAGCTCCAAGAAACTCATGTAAAACAACGCCCAACATGGCTTGAACTAGTTTGGGAAAGGAAGAAGGCTTTTTTGTACGCACGGCGCCTTGCAAGTAGATTTTCAGTCAACTTGAGAAAACTTTGGAAATTTAGCAAACTCCATCTGCAAATGTCGATGCACTGACGTTTCTGCGCCATCAAATGTATTCTGAGGCATACGAGGTAGCAAAGATCTCATCAGACATAGCAGCTTAGTGAATGGTTTCCAAATTTTACACCCAGAGTACGCAATTAGGTCTAACGGTGAGCCAGAATAAGCGACCATAACGGTTAGAATAATCAAAAAGCTTAAGTTGACGCATCTTGTGAAGAACTGATTTTTCAGCGAACTCCATCTAATGTTGACGAAGTAGAGCTCCTACAACATCAGATGTATTTAGAGGCACATGAGGTAGCCTAGCAAGCAATTCCAATAACACAGTTTGAGATCAGGTTTCCAGATTCTGCACCCACAGCATGCGCTTAGACCCAGCACTTCAGCAAAACAGGCAGCCCCAGGGGTTAGAAAAGGCTCTATTCAGAATTCGTTTAGCATTACCGCAAACACTTCTGACGCATGGATTTCAGATGAATGATGGATTAGAAATGAGACTTCGTAACCTCAACGTTAGCATGTTCGAAAACCTCGGCAGATTCTGCGAACAGAGTGAGATGAGGTCGAGAAAACGAGTAAGACAGCTGCATCCACAAGCACAAGCAATTGTTAGAAGAGTCAAAAGCTTTTTCACTGTCCTTAAGCAACAGCTAGGAGTGGAAGCTTGCGGCACGATCTTTGCAAGTCCAAATAACATGACTGCGATGGCATGCGGAATCTGCTCGAGAACAGTAGAACGAGTGAACACGGCCCACGCCGAAAAGCCTCTAATCTAGGAAGACGTCAGAGAAGAGCTGGTACCAGTAAACATTTGAGGAATGAGGTGGTGAAAAAGTATGGAGAGGAGTGGACCGAAAGAGTGAGGCGTTTTGCTCATGGCAAGCTAAGAGAAGAACTAAATGTTACGATCGACAGCGTCAGAGCGGGTCTTCCTGAAGCGTATCCAGCTTTCACCATGTTCAATGAGACACTACGTCGCTTTTTAACAGGAATAGGCTTCTCGTACAGGAAGAAAACGGCTCAGCCGTTCATCTTTCGAACGCCCTGACCTTGTTCAGAAAAGAACCACGTATCTCGCAAAGTTGGAAGAAGCACGACGTCGAGGCAGCTGCTTGGTGTTCATGGATGAAACCTGGGTGTTTGATTCCATGACAAAGGACAAAGGATGGAATGATAACACGATCCCTCGCTTTGCCTCCGCCGAAGTGATGCGAACGTACTCTTGTGGCAAAACGGTAGCAAAGGATAAAGGGCGGAGGGCCATCGTGATAGGAGCGATTACGGATGAGGGCGCTGTGCCAGAGAGTACTATGGTAGTTGTCTCAGGCATACGAAGAGTCGACGATGACTATACTATCATCGCGACATGGACCACTTTCTCTTTGAGAGGTGGTTACAAGATACCATTCCACACATGAAACGCATCGCGGGCACACGCCCTGTTGCGTTAATTACGGATAACGCGTCATACCACACGCGTCAGCTAGAGGTCTTGCGTATAAAGACCAATTTCCGCTAGCTTATCATGGATGATAATTTCAGGTACCAACGAGATCATCGACGAAATCCGAGATTGAGACCTACCTCAGGGATAAAGGAGTAGTGGTGCCCGAGAATAGCATGAAAGCATACTTGGTGGAGGAGGTTTGAGCTCGCCTCAGTATGACATATGATAAAACCAACAACGCTTTAGCTAAGCCAGTACATTTCGAGTAGAGATGGCATAGCAGCTTTGCACTGTCATACTGCTGAGGAGATCTGCGAGGAAAACGTTGATAAGGCTGCCGCCTTTTCACTGCTTTTTCAATCCTATCGAGATGTGCTGGTTCCAACTTAAAGGTCACCTCAGAAGATGCGGAAAACCGGGAGACACCCTAGAGCTGGTATAAGAAGTGCTTATTTATGTAGTAAGCTGGGAAGTCATAGCTTCAGGTGAGAGCTAGTACCCAGTACATGAGTGCTTTGCCGTCGTCACTTTGTCAAGAATGGTTTCATCATGTCGCTAAAGAAGAGGACGCAACGAGACTCAAAATAGCCATAGACTTAGCTAACAGCCACAGCATCATTGAAACTATAGATTCTGAACTGTCGTCGTCCAGTGATGGAGACCTCGAATTGGAAGCCGATGAGAATGACCCTAATCTTACCGAGTAGAAAACATAGCTTTCATTTATTTTCTCATCGTAGGACCAAAGATCAATCATAATCAGCAGATATCAAAATTCACAATTACGCTCATCTTTTCAAGTATTCTTTCCAAATCTAATGATAACATGTTTTCACTGAAACCAATGACCCAGTATTTGAAGCCTTTCTATACTACCGATACTGTAACTAAGATATTTCAGATGTATATAAAGTGATGAGACCCACTAACTACTTGATCATATGGTTTGAGTCTACTGCGCGCCCTAGTACAGGCATCCCACAGTAAAAGTTCTCTAGAACTAACCATATACACAAATCAAACTGATGTCACTGATATGCGAGTAAAAAGAAGGTAGAAAAAAGAATAGACGGGTCAGAAAGCCTGTCAATTCAAATGAGTTGTCAAAAACATCGAAGTGTAAAAAGAAAGCGAAAGGGAGAAAGAAACCGCCGACTTGTTTGCGAAACCCCTCAAAAAACACTCCTAGCGACGTTGAATAAGGTAATTCTCCGATACCATACACCTTCCGGATAAGTTACACTATGGCCTTGCGGATGTGCTGAATATCTCGCTCACACAAAGCTAAGGCATTTCAGCGGGCAACTAGAGGGTCACTTTCACACAAAGAAGGGATACCCTAGACGCAGCAAAGTGCAAAGCCGATGTGAAGTCAGCAATAATGATTAGAGCGAAATGCATTTTACTATGCAAGACAACTATCATAAAAAGAAACGGAGGAATAAAGGTGGAAAATCAAAATTTAGCTCAAAGAAGATTACTATAGCAACATTAGAAAGCATGGCCAAAATGAAGGGTGAAAATGTATACATGAAAAGAGAAACATATCGAAACAAAAAAACAGTCCGTATCACAAACGATGAATCAAAAAAAGACTTACTTTGAAAGAGTAGAACGAAGGAGGCTTGAGGAAGCGCTAAAAATCAGAAAATCTTATTTTGACGGACGTGAAGTGGTGTGAGCGTGACCACGTCAAAAACGCGCATTCACGCTTAAAGAGTCGACATTCTTGTTAAGCTTTTTGAAACAAACGCTTTTTGAGAGATAATTAGCCCTATCGCAAAAAAAAATTAGTTTAGAGTACACATTCTATCGAAAAATTATGACACAATTCAGATCACACTTGTGCATATGTCATTCATCGGAAAAAGCTATCTCCTATCCAAATGTCACCAATCGCATCCTTCTTCCGGTTCACCTGAAAAAAAAGGCAAAACAAACAAGCACAACTGCGCGAAACAATAGTTAGTTACAATCTTAAAATCTGATTGAGAACATCGCCGCAATAGAGAGATAGAAAAGAAACACGAAAAAAATAAAAAAACTCATGTGCAAGCGATTGGCTGAGGGGCGGCGTCTGCCGCGCTCTGCCGCGGCAGGCCTGATACAGTTCGAATTCAAATTCGACCGCCGACCGACTAGTGGGGTGAGGACGACTATAGCAAAGCTAGTTTCCATCCCACTAGCACGGCAGAGGTGGAGAGAATTTTCTATCTACTCTGTTATCAGAACACAACGCAGAAGTCCGAACGGTAGAGCATCTGAGCAATTACTTAAGGTTTGTCAACCTTCTACTAAACATATTGTTATCTAAAAAATTCGTTTAAAGGATTGCTATAAGTGGTCCAGACAGGATGTCACCGTATGACTTCTTGAAATATCCTAAAAGATGGTACGAACAAACTGGTCACCTACCTGCTGACTTTCCTGGTGCTACCAGAGGGCCAGGAAAAAATCACAAAAGCGCTTAGAGAAGAAGAACGTTTTAAATCCGTTTTCGACTTAGAACGCTTTTTCACGCAATTCTACTTCTACTCCGATGACCTTTTGGAGGAAGAAGAAGATCTTTCAGGCAGCGGACTTGTTGTCTCTGATCAGCGATGTGATATTGTTGATAATGATGTGCAGGAATTTATAAGTTGTTCCCAACTTGTACATCTTTTTGGACAAACCTTGTTGCTTTCGTTTTTTGTTGATGCAATGAAACGGGAGCACAGATCTTCATGAAGTTACAATATTCAAACTTCACTTATGTGAGATACATTGGCGCAACATATTGCTAACACATGACAAAGTTTGTTCAGATAAATTTGTAACGCGCCCTCCTTATTCTGCCCCAACGCAAGCATGACATATATAAGGTACAAATTAAAGCTCTTCATATCACGCTTCTTTACCTTTGCTCTCTCCCTCCCCCCCCCCTAGGCTCACATACCTCCTTCACCCTGGAAGGTCGGAAACAGCCGAGACACCCTTCACCTGGGGAGAACCCGGCTCCCCCTATCGCACCTATGCTTTCAACTGGTTTCTACGAGAGCAAAACCGTCTAAAACTTATTGCAGGTAATCCTGATTGCTTTCAGCAATAGCAAAATTGTCTTCCTCTAAACTTTCCGCCATGCGAACTTATCCAAAAGAGACTATAAATGATGGCTTGCGGTATCTCTCTGCTCTTGTTTCGCCGCTTGAATAAAGGAGCCTTAGCGCACTTCTCCATTCTGGGCAGGTCTAATCTGTGCAAAGATAACAGGATGACGTTATGTTTATAACAATGTACATTTCTGGAGCTGTTTATTTAACACGGGATCATTATTGACTATAATAACAGATTGAACTTAAATCGCTAGTAATGCAACACAAACCCTTGGTAAAACATGTTAAACATGTAGATGGCATGTCAAATGTTTTTGACATGTAGCAATGTTGACACTTTTTCCTGCGAATTTAGGATCAATTATCGTGCAAGGTCGGAAGAAATATCCTTCTTTGAAAAAATGAGTCCGGATAACGAAAAAGTACCAATTAGCCTCATAAAAGTTTTCTTCGGTTGCGTGGGCTTGGGGTTATAGGGTCTCCGAGATTTTGAGGGGCGTCCAAAGAATTTGGATTGCGTGACAAAGACCACGCATTATCGTTCAAAAAATTTCCTGTCCCCTTGACCAATCGCAGAACGGAAATCTTGCAGCCGCCAATGTTGAGCAGTAATAAGCAGGATCTGTGACTTTGCGCAAACTCGTTATAGACAATAAATAAAGTTTGACATGCGTTTGCGAAGGTCCACAGTCAGTTTCACCGAGTATTGCACAATAGACATGATAAAATAAACACAACAAGACACAAGCTTTGCAATTGAAGCAAAAGCGTATAGCGCGTGAGCATCTGGCGTTCTAGATCATTGTTTTTATTGCCATTTTTTTCATCTAGCGTGTTTGTAAACTTACTTGCCAACTGGCAAGCAGAGGTGCGATAGGTAGAGCCGGCCCCCTCCCCCCCAAAAGTGAAGGTGGTTCCAGCTACCACTGACCAGCAAAGTGAAGGTGGTACTGCCGGACACTCACCTCTTAAAAACGTTGACCGGCGGGGGGGGGGGGACACAGGACGGAGTTTGGGTTTGGGTTTTTTGGTTTTGTTTGGGTTTTTTTCGGACTTTTGGGTTTTGATTTTTTTTGCTGAAACTGAAAAAAAGGAAACTAAGCAAAACGAGCACAAAAGAAAATATTGAGAGCATATTCTATGTAGTTTAATTTTATTTTTTTATTCTATGTAGTTTAATTTTTTATTTTTCCTATTGCGAGCACCTGGAGGCCGTCACCGGCATGGACGCATATACGCCTCAGTACTTTCTACGATAGAGCAAAGCTTCATGATGACTTCGGATAACTGAAGAGCTCTAACCCAACGGTCCTCTTTAGGGCCAATAACTGTGACCAACGGCCCTCTTTAGGGCCACAAATACGATGAGTACAACTGCATAAATCATTCAAATAAACGTTTTAATGAAATAGTGTATTTGTGAGTGATACTCAGCTAGTCTTTATGTTTTTTATTAAATGCATTTTGTTATGACGTACTGCGAAGAAAGTAGTTCGATCCAGGCAGTAACCGCCGAGAATCAGAATTTCGAATGATATAATAATGAAAAATCATGCGATGATTCCATTGTTATAAATCTGCTGGTTGAAGACGTCAGCAATTGCGACTTCATAGGTTTTGTAGAGTGAGTGTTGTTCTATAAGAATATGTCTTAGCTGTACCGATCCATTAAAACCTCGCCGAGATCCAGGCTCTTGAAAAAGCAGGTAAAAAACCGTTTTTCAGCTCATAACTCCTTCAGAACTGCATGAATCATGTTGCGACTTCATAAGTTAGATTCTCCTCTTCAAGAGCTTTCAGATGATATATAATATGTGGGGATTCAATGTTTCTTGCGGCTCTAACCCGGGGTGGAGTACAATACCGCTCATAATTCGTCAAAAAAGTCGCCGGACTGCGGCGCACTCCGCCACACTCCGCCGCAGTGCGCCGGAATGACCGTCAATTTAGCCATATCTCGCTTCAGAATGGACGAATTCTGAATCCGAAGACACCGTTCGATTCAGCTTGGCGAGGCGCATCATCTTATATATGAAGCTGAACGTCTGTTTGTCTGTTTGTCTGTACGTATGCTCCGAATAGAAAATTCCATTTCTGAACCAATCCGGACCAAACTTGGCACACATACACTTCGGGCCCCGGTGGGTGTCATAGGCTATTTTTCGTCATCGATCGATATCGATTTTGTCGATTTTTTTGCAGAGTTCACCTACGGGGCCAAGAGTTGGCACAGGGGGGGTAAATGAGCATGGGGATTCCGAATACGATATTAGTTTGCAGAATCATCGATTACTTTTATCGATTTTCATTGGTTTTTTTGCAGAGTTCACCTACGGGGCTGGGAGTTGGCACAGGGGGAGGGTAAGTGAGCATGGGGATTCCGAATACAATATTGGTTTTCAGAATTATCTATTATTGTTTGAATTCAGTGTGCTGATAACAGTATTACCATTGATCTGTCGCTGAAGACACATAGACTGTATACTACAGGAGTATGGTAGAGAGCCACTCTGATCGAATTTGTTCTAAGATCTGCTCAAGATCACAATACCGCCCACAGAATGTCAAAATTTCCGTGAACTTCGCGGAATTCCGGGATTTCCGCCAGAATGCGC